CAGCACTTGCTAGGAACAGTGGAGTAAGGGCCAAAATCACTGTCGTAAGGAAGCCATATGGGTCCTTTGCAGCCCCTTCCACGACATACGCAGCCCAAGCCTTTATGTCAAACATCTTAGTAGTGGTCTGAAGAAAACTTGTTTGAGAAGTGATCTCTAACTTTGTCCAGGGATCATCAACGAGCAAATCACAATTTCATATGACCCTTCGTTTTTGTCTTCTGCTTTAGTTCTATTGTACACTTCTAGGAGAAAGCTTAAACTCTCAATTTTAGACCCAAACGCAGGTGCCTTCCAGGCTTTAATAAATTACTCTTCGTCCCTCAGAAAGGAGTAGACCTGACTTGACATCCAGGGCAGAATGGTGCAGCACAGGAAGCTGCACCAGGTGGCGTTCTACTGCCATCTGTACTCCCCCCTCTGTCTTTCCCTCTTTTGCTTTCCCCCTGCTCATTTCTTCCTTCCTTCCCCACACCCAGGCTGCTGGCACCTGGGGACCACATCCATCTGACTATTTGGCTTTGGTGGGCACAGGCCCTTCATCCTGCAGGGGCCCACCGGGGCTCGCAGACAGCAGTGACCCCAGGAACTGAGATCGGCTTGGTGGCCACGTCCCCTGGACACAGGGGTAAAACCAGCTCAGTGGCCGCCAACAGCTTCCCTCACATTGTGCCCAGACCTGGGCACAGACTCCATTCTCAACTCACCGCCAGACCAGAAGCTGTATCTTCCTTAGTCTTGTAGCTTAGTCTTGTAGTGGAGCTGATCCTTTAACATCTTTGAGAATGTTCTTCGTTTTTGAGGACTGTTATGATTGTTAAGTGTGACAAGCCCCAAATCATGAGCAACAGAGTTCACTGACTGTCCACCTTCACTCTATTTAATAATCTTTTGTTTCACTTCCAGATCGCTACTTATCCTTTCCTTTGCCTCTTGATGCCCCTATCAGTAGCACTTGTTTTGCTGCATACTTGTTGTTGTTGTTGTTATTATGTGCGGTTGAGCAGGCCCAACTCATAGCGACCCCTGCTTGGGTTTCTGAGGTGGTATCACTATGGAAGTAGATTGCCCAACCTTCCTTCTGAGAGATGGCCTGGCTACCTGCCGGGAGCGGCTGGTAGGTTTGAACCACCAGCCTTGGGTGTGGCAGGTGACTGCGTTAGGCCTGAGGCCATCTCCTAGGGCCCAATGCATACCGTTACATGGTAAATTTTTTAGATACAAATTACAGTACAGTACATATATAAGCCATTAACACAGGTGTTTCTAATGACTATCAAGACATGCGTATTATAAGTTATATATGTCCAACTTATTATACACCTGGTAGTACAATCACTTTGTACACAAGAGACATGAGACCCACGTGTTGTATGTGGGAAGCTGCTGGGTTCACTATGTCCCATTCTCTGGTTGGGGTATCTGAACTCTATTACCACTTTATTGGGATCATGGACATACATGCAGTCAGACATTGCCTGAGCAGACACTATGCAGTGCAGGACTGTATATGTTGTGTACACCTGCTTTCATGCTACAACAGCAAAGCTGAGTAGTTATGACAGAAACCATACGATCCACAAATATTCTCTGCTTCTTTAAACAAAAAGTTGGCTAACTCTTGCTCTGAATCAAAATAGCAGCAATGTATTGTGGGGTTTATAATATATGTAAATGTAAATGTATGATAACAACAGCACAAAGGATAGGAAGGAGAAATTAGAAGTATAGTGTTGTATTGTTCTTACACTATATCTGAAGTGGTATAATATAATTTGAAGATACGCTGTAATAAGTTGTTGTTGATGTTGTTATGTGCCATCGAGTTCGCCCCGACTCATAGCGACCCCTCCTTGGGTTGCCAAGGCAGTATTACTATGGAAGTAGATTGCCCAACCTTCCTTCCGAGGAGTGGCTGGTGGGTTTGAACCTCCAGCCTACCGGTTAGCAGTCAAGTGCCTTAGGCACTATGCTACCAGAGCTCCTATGTGGTAAGTTAGAAATGTTTATTAAAACCTGAGGAAACCACTACATTTTTTAAAATGAGGCATAAATAGTAAGCAAATACTAGAGAGAAAATGGAGTCACAGAAAATACTACAGAAGAAAGTAGGAAAAGGAAAACATGGAACAAATAGAAAACCAAAAGGTGCCTAAGGCATTTCACTGCTAACCAGAGGCTGGTGGTTCAAACCTACCAGCCTTCCTCAGAAGGAGGGTTGGGCAATCTACTTCTGTAGTGATATGAGTGGGATCTGACTAGATCGCAATTTTTTTTTTTCATCACTAAGTACATTAAATGAAAATAATCTAAACCAATTAAAAGACAGAAATGATCAAATTGGATAAAAAGGAAAGGATCAACCATATGTGCTGTAAAAGAAACCAACTTGTAAAAATGAAGAAAAGTTAATAGGGAAAGCATGAAAATAGTACACCATCAAATACTAATCAAAAGAAAAGTGGAATAACTATATTATATCAGACAAAGTAGAATTCAGAACAGAAAATACTACCCGGGATAGAGAAAAACATTACAAAATGAAAAAAGGCTCAATTCACAAGGAGGCACAAAGACTAGTGCAAATAGTATGCACTCAACTGCTAACCCCCAAGTTTGAAACCACAATGGTAGAAAGCTTACCACTGTACTGTGAAAGAAGAGGCCTGGCATCTCCTTCTAGTGGCTCACAACCAAGAAAACCCTATGGAGCAGTTCTATTCTGTAACACCCCTGCGGTGGCCATGAGCTGCAATTTACTAGGCAACCAACAAACATGGTCTGAATAATTATTTTTTAAATTATTTTTAAATCACATATGGGTGGCTTTGAACACACTGTAGGAATATTTTTTATAAGAGATTTTCTGACCCTTAGTTCAATATCATCTGTTTCTATTACCTAAGCAAATAAATAGCAATTGAAATGGTGGAGGGAGGGGGACATGCTCTGGTATGTGCTGAACCTGAGACTAAAATGTCGGAAATAATCCACATGCAATCATTTAAGAGTTTAAGTTGAGGATGAATACAAACACTATGACGTGAAAAATGAAAAAGAATGTGAAAACAAACATATAATTACCAATAATCTGTCCTATTAACTCTTGCATATTCAAAAATATTAGTAATGCTTCCTAATTAAACCATACTGAAGTTTTTAATATTAGTAGTATTTTATAATAAATAACTAGTTATCTATAGTTTGTCACTTATCCTCTTCTTTCCATTTCAAAATATTTCCCCTATACCTGCCTTTTTTTAAGTAAACTTTTACATAAAATGACACATGACATTTTACTCAGAGTAACTCCAGAATTCAATTTACCCAGCATTCATTTTTCTTCCAGTTTAATGATGACCATAAAAAGGACAGAGGTTAACTTTAGTTAACATACTTAATCATTTAGAATCTTTGTTTTCCATTTTTACTAAAATATGCCAGTAATATGATTTAGTGACTTCCAATAAACAAAAGGTCATTACTAAGTTGCATAATTCTTTGCAAAGAATGACTCCTATACATGTGTGAGCACATTTAAAGGAACATGGAGAAAGAGCTGGAAGAATGTTAACTCTGGGTATTTGAGAGAATGTTGTGGGAATAATGAGTGAATGGAAATAGTGAGCAGGTAGAAAACAGAAAATAAGTCATTGCTTATATAAGTCATAACAGAAAATTATAGATCTATCAAGTGTTGCTATCAGCTAGAAAGGTCAGTAATATTTAAAAGTATTAACTAGGTAGTAAATGTGTGGTGAAGTGAATTACTTATAATGACTCTTCTAGCCATGGTCTTTGTCACTTCCACCAGATGAGCGGGTTGGGATTATGCAAATGTGAGTTGCTCTGTGGCCCACCAAAGGAATTGCACAGCTTGCTAATAATATAAGTAAGATACAGTATCCTTGTGGGTGTGGGACCTAGGAAATAAGGTGTATGGAACCCTAACATAAGGATTGGTCAATTTTGCCATCAGTTAGGCTCAAAATGAGTCATCCCAGAGGTGGAAAAGGGGGTCTCATTGCCATCAAGACAGAAAAGAGCTGGGAGTGGAGCATACCCTTGGATCCAAGATCTCTGTACGAAGACAACAAAGAGAAATGGCAGAGGGACAGCAGCCGAAAAGGCAGCCGGACAAGAGAACAGCATGAGATAGAGAAAGTTGAGTGCCACTGGGATGAAGGTTTGCTGGCAGAGTGGGGTACATGTAATGGCAGCACTAAAAGACCTTTGTAATACCTGCCCAAGCAGAGCAGAGGCCTGGCCAAGAAGATGATGAATGGCCAAAGAGAAGCCTGTCTAGAGGCAAGTCTGAGTGGAGGCTATCCTGATCTAAGAATTGTATCTTGAGTGTTCCTGATCCTGAATTATAACCTGTTACTTCCTTAATAAACCCCATAATTGTGAGCATTTGTGAATTCTGTATGGCCACTGCAACAAATTATCAAACACAACAGAGAAGTAGAAAGTGCCATGGAAGGGGCAGTTGTTGTCAAAATTGGTCAGAAGTTTGGAGAGTGGCAGCATGTCTGGTATTATAGGAAACAGTCTTGGGCTGATGCTGCTGGTGGCTGTTTTGTCTTCTTGTGCAGTTAGAGGAGGTCAGATGCCACCATCCTCACGCTCTTTTTGTAAAATGTGATTAAGAAAAACAGATAGACCAGTCATATTAATATCATTTTTGCTGTTATAAACATTACAAAATTCTTATTTTCAGAGTGCTTATGTATTAAAAAAAATGAGTCTTTGACAATTTTTAATATTTTTATATAAATGTAGATATATCTACACATTCAAAGTCATTAAGCAACATTTTAAAAGAAGAAATTTCTCCAACTTCAATTCCCAATATATTATGTATATTTGGTGATCTCAAGATATTTATGAATACTATAGGAAGAGCATTAAAAAATTAATAGATGAGTTAATGCCGTATCTTATTAACAATCTCCATGGTATTTATCTCCCCCTTTCCTTTCTTCTTCTACAAATCTTACCTTGTATATACTAACAAAAGACCCAAGAAAAGCTCCAAGCTGGAAGTTTTCCTTATTATAGAAGAGAGACAATAGCCGGGATGGCTGTGTAAACAGATGCCTAAATGCAGAGGGGATTCGCAGGCAGCACTGGATCAGGTACCCCACGCTAAACATTCGGATGAAACCCTAGGGAAAACAGGAAGGAAAATCTGATTTTCAACCAAATTTTGAAGTATGATAGAATATGAATCTTATCATCGCCAAATCAAAACAAGACTCAAAATTATTTAATGCAAGTTTATATCACAGGCATTTTCCAAATTAAGTCTTAAAACCTCAAACAATAATTTTAAAACAATTACCTTAAAAATAAGGGTGAAATCTTGGAGTGAGTATACTTTCTTTGATTTACAAAGACTTAAAAAGTCTCACAAGCACTGGCCAAGCTTGCCTATGCATCAAAATTCCATTTCTTGACATTTTGTTGACAATAATCAGGATTTTTAATTCCTAAACCACAAACGAGTTTTAGAAACAAAAGCATTGAAATTCCAATAAAAGCAGTTAACAAAACCAAATGCTTTTGGAAATTCTGACAGAAAATTGTTCTTAATCAGTAATATGAATGGGAATGCTGCTGACAGAAAAATAATTTTATTATTTCTTTAGACCTTTTGTTTCAATTTTGTAAATGACAAGGTTAAAAGAACTTTCCAGAAAAAGACACAATTGTCTGTGGTTTTCATTTTTGTCCTCAGTTGTACAGGGCTAAATAATCATAAGGAAATAGTAGCTTTAAGGTAAACTAACAAAACTTGAGAAAGCAAATCCATTATAAATCCATATTTGTTGCCAACATTTCCCAGATTTCCTGCAACTGTTTATAGTACAAAAGGGAACTATCTGAGGAGGATAAAACTAATGTTAGTCAATTTCATCTCACTACTTATGAAATTGAAATTTGGATGTCACTTAATACATAGAGATTGAAAATGCCAACTAGCACAAAACATTAACAGAAAGAATACTATGTTACATATACTTCAACCAATATATTGTAACACAAGTCTCTTATCCTTCTTCTCCTCCTCATTCACCCTCACTGGAATGGGAAAATGTCTACACGCTTAGCAGTGCCTGCCTGCTAAGTTTAAAAGTCAGATTTGTATTTCCAGATAGTAGCTTTCTATTTTTTCTTCAAAGAAAAAAGAAATTGAGTTATTAGAAAGTAACATTCATTAATTTCCCTGAAACTACTTAATATCTGGTTAAAATATGGAAATTAAATTGTCCAATCAATTATTGAGGAGCTCTGGTAGTGTAGTGCCTAAGGCACTTGACTGCTAACCAGAAGGCTGGCGGTTCAAACCCTCCAGCCACTCCTCGGAAGGAAGGTTGGAATCTACTTCCATAGTGATACCGCCTCAGAAACCCAAGCAGGGGTCGCTATGAATCGGGTCTGAGTCAACGGCACATAACAACAACAATTATTATGAATTATCATGCATTTGCATAACTGAAATTGTCTAGTATTGTTAAAAACAGCGTATGTTCATCCTTTTATTGGGCCATTGATAACCTTAAAATGGTTATCCAAGGATTCAAGGATTACACATGTAACCACCTTCGCATGCTATTTTCCATTCATCCCTCCATCTATTCACCCCTTCATGTATTCATGAAATATTTGCTGGCTCTATATTAGATGCAGGAGATACAAGGGGGAAGAGGACACAAAGTTCTTGCTTTCATGCTAGTTGAAGGAACAGAAAATAAGTGAAGAAATTAACAGATACAATAATTATAGATTATAATAAGTGTTATGAAGGAAACAATCGGGACACTAGGATAGAAATTGACAGAGCAACCTAGATCAGACTGAGTGTTAAGGAAGGCCACTGAGAATATGATATTTAAACAGACTCAAAAAGAGGAGAAGCAGTTAACATGAAAATAGGATTCTAGACAGCTTAGATAAAAATCACAAAGCAAAAAACAAAAACCAGGTTGGCAGATACTAGGAACCAACAAAAAGTTAGTGTGAATGGAGTATAAGGAGTTGAGAGGAATGTGATTAATACGGATATTTATTCAGGGTTATGATTTAGCATGTAGTGTAACTGAGTCCACAGCATAATGAGGTGCACTGTAAGGAGATTTTATTTGTGATATAAATTCCTTACCCACATGCTTCCAAATATCCAAACATTAACATGGAGAAGACATTCCAATTTTTACCTAAATTACTCAGTTCAGTACTATTACACATTTGAAAACATGACTAGATTTTTCATTGCTTAGTATTTCTAATTTTCTCATATAATTTTTTTTTTTTTTTAATATCACTGGCCCCAAAGAAATAGTTCTCAAATACCTGATTTAATCAGACTATTTCTCTTAGTTCCCTTCTTGAAGTTTCCCTTTGAACTTGAATCACGTTCAGCTGGAGGGAAGGTTGGATAAGCAGAGCAAGCAGACTTCGAAGCTGCTAGCAATGTTGCTTTTCCCCCCACCATTTTAAAAGTGGGGCAGGAAATCAGATTTGGAAGAAGTGTATCAGAAACCACAGCACAACTGAAAAAATACTCTACTGTTTTTGCCCCTAGTCTTATCTTTGGGGATTCTGAGGGTAAGTGTAATCTTGGGTGAATGCCACCATCAACTCTTGACCACAGGCATTCATCTTCATAAGCACAAATGTGGGACAGTCCCTCCCTTCTAGAGTGACTAAGAAGTCTGTCTCTTGGGGTGTTAAACATCTTTACTGTTTTCATCATCAACTGAGTGGGGCTCAGACTTTTCAAGAAAGAACATAAACTTTTTAAAGCATCAGAAATGTTGGAAAACCATCCACAATTAGGGAACTTGCAGGAAGCGGGTAGTGCCGCCAGTGCCACACCAAATGCAATGAAAATAAGCTCCTCCCAGAGCTGGTAGCAATGTGTGTGCGTATGGGGGGGGGGGGGACAAGTAGGAAGAGAAGATGAACTAGTATGCTAGTATATTAGAGTGGGGCATAGCTAACTTTTTAAACGTAGAGTAACTGTGGACAGAGCTCCAGCTCCCTAAAAAATGTGGTAGCTTTACAAGCCCCAAACGAAATGCCACTATACCAGATAGTGTTCGGTATACGTGTGTGACTACAGATCCAGCACATTCCAGAGGGCTAGTTCTAGGACGGAGTTCTAATAAGAACAAAGGACAAATTTTTATGACTATTTTTCTGTCATGTGTGTGTGTGTGTGTGTGTGTGTGTGTGAACTCTTCTTCTACCTCAAAGTTTTTAGTAGTTTTTAAATAAAGAAATTTTAAAATTAATGCATGAAGAATCTGATAATTGAATATTAAAAGCTAAATTGCTACCTACTTCTCACAAATTTCTTATTCTTCAAATCAAACAAAGAATGACAGCAACTGTTAATGTCAACTTTTCCATTTACTTTGAAATCTATTTTTAGTTAAATAAATTATTTCTCTGTATGTTCCCCATTGTTTAGAAAGTGGATATTTTCATATACTTACTTTAATGCAGTAAGAGATGCAATTATCTTCATAGTGTTTGCAACATCTATGTCTTGGTCCATGCTTGCATCTGAAATTAAGCCAAAAAAAAAAAAAAAAAGAAAAGAAAAAACAAAAACAAAAACCTAAACTACTTATAATTAAAATGTATGTGCATGTGCACCTGTATGTAAATCTGTTTAAAACTCTCTAACCAAAAAAGAAGAAAATATCACCCATTCATTTCCAAATGTGTGCACCTTTTGGTTTCTTAAGACATACAGAAGTGAAGATGACAATTTTTTTGTTTTTTGTTTTTTCTTGTTGCTCCTCATGTAACACATTGTATATTAGAAAAAAAAAAAAAAAAAAACTCAACTGCTGTCAAGTCGATCCCGACTCACAGCGACCCTTCCTTGGGTTTCTGAGGTGGTATCACCACAGAAGTAGATTATCCAACCTTCCTTCCGAGGATTGGCTGGTGGGTTTGAACCGCCAGCCTTCTGGTTAGCAGTCAAATGCCTTAGGCACTACGCCACTAGGATGTGAAATAGAAAGATCATACTAGTAAATACCTGTGACTAAATATTAAAAATATGTATATATGATCCATGTATTCTGCCAAATTTTTCAGAAGCTTTAAATTCTTTGTCATAGAGTGTAATGGTCATACATCATCCATGAAGTCAGTACTTGAGCAAAAATCATAATGAGAATGTTCTCAGGTTATAGGAATTTACACTTAATTATATTTGAAAGAAAACATATGGAAGAGAAACATGATATACTATTAGAACTCAAAATTCACTTTTTAAAAGTAAATAAAGAAATAGATCATTTGAGAAATCAAAAGTAGATCATTTGTGATTTGAATGTAAACCACTTAACCCTTTAGTGTTTAATAAACATGTCTGCTGGGAAGACTACTGTTCAAGACATACTCATTTTAATTATTAGGCGGAATGACTCCAGGACTATTTATTCACCCTACCCATATAAAATGTTATATAGGAGAATCTAACATGAGTTTAGTTCTCCTTTCTCTTTGAAGCGTTCATGTTCTAAAATAAGCAGACTTCATAACCTCTTTTCAGAGTGCAACTAATCGTTTTCATGGTTAAAATATATGAACTCTTTCTTGTGTATAACAATAACTTCTGGAGCAATGTTCTGGCTCTGCACAACTCAAATCCCATTTGCAAACTGATTAGCAAGATCTTTTCTAAAATCCACTTCTTCACTGCTGAGGTATACAGGTGACCTTTCCCAGTCAAGTGTCATAGCAACAGTTCATACTTATCATAGCTCTATGTCATTAGAATTATATGATACATCTTATCAAGTGAAATTGTTGAGTGATTAATTAAAATTGGGCACCTGAAAAGAGGACTGTCTCATGCAAACCACTGCTCTTCATACCTCTAAGTATCCTCTTCAAAGATATTTCTCAGCTATTGCTATCAAAACTACACAGAAACAACTCTACTTGCTAGTGAAATCAAATTATTTTATCATTTGTACTGTTCAGCCATTTAATTTTTTCTTAGTCTCTCATGAAAATGGCTTCCCAAGTACCAGTCTACTCCCTGCATTATTTACTTTGCTTTTCCGTATCATTCTGCACCTGCTTTTACACCAAGTGACTTACAAAAGCTACTCTGACTAGCTCTCCCTTGACCTGATCAGTTCTGATACCCAAGGCATCATTCACCAACATAATACTTATTCTGCATTCCCCTCTGATTCTTGGTGACATTATTTCCATTAATGGAGACGTTTCCCCTATTTCCCCACTGAGGCAACTCATAACAATTTCTAAACTTGCTTTAATATGTTTACTACCCCAGTTATTCCTACCACTTACTATTTTTTTCTTCCCTCTCACCTTCCATGTGTGGTACATACTAAGATGAAGATAAAGTCTTTATAGTCTGTAAAATTGAGAATACCCATGTATTCATGAGTTGCCAGTATATTTCACATGTTATCTTATTTGATGTTCAGTAAAATTCTTAATAGAGATTAATAACTCCAGTCAACAGAGGAGGACTTTGGGATACAGAGTGGTTAAGTGGCTCACCCAAGTCAAAAGGCTGATGGGGCAAAATAAGAGCTAAACAAAGTTTCTTCTGATTTCTCACAGGGCTTCAGCTTCCTACAGTTGACCCCCTAACTTTCTATTCTATTCTCATTCCATGTACTCCAAAATATCACTCATAAGATTATTCTCATTAGCTGGTCCCCTAATTTTTTTGTAAATGTTTTATTGTGATTTAGGTGAAATTTTACAATTTTCTAATGGCTCTAATTTTAAATTACAATTTTTAATTACATTTATTTCTTCAATATGTCCACTAGCAATACACATGAGCACTTATTTGCACAAAATATAAAGACTTCTTTGTACCATATACAAATAAACATTTTTTATTCCATTGTCAAAGCCCTGAAAATTTCCACTCCTGCAAAACAGCCTTCACTTAAAGTTTGTTCCTTATTGTTCCCTCATCTTGAATCGATCTTTTTTTTCTCCTTCCCACACTTGCCATATTCAATCAGTATCGTTCAACTGTTTCTGATGTTCTTCATCCTAGTCACCTGTAACTGTCTAGTTTGAAAGACAAAAATATTTTAATTTCACGCAAATCTATTTTAAAGGAATATGATGGTCAATAGTACTCTTTTTAGTATTGCCAGAAATAATAAATAACATTCAGTTGCTAATATGTGCCTTTTATAAAACCCACAAAGAGTTTTTGTTGAAAAAAATTATCATTAACCGAATAGAAAACAAAAATACCTCAGTACAGCACTAATATCATATACAACAGTGACAAACTGCACTAAAATATCAAGATAAAGAACTCACATTGAATCCACAAGTTTCCTGACTAGAGCAATTACATTCATTATTCGTGGTTTTTCCTCATGTTTTTCTCTCTTTTGTTCCACTTTCGCATATGCTGCCTCTGGTGAATAAGAATGTATGGGTATTTCCTCCTTCCCTACAATGAATCTAAAGAAGAGAGCACAATATGAGTCATTTTTCACCTTTAAGAGACTCAGTAAGGAAGAAATAGATTATGTTTATGGACAAATTTTGGAGAGCATCATCATTTGAAATAGTATTTTCATGATCTATATAAAATCATGGACAATGAATAAGGAAGACCGAAGAAGAGTTGATGCTTTTGAGTTGTGGTGCTGGCAGAGAATGCTGAAAGTACCATGGACTGCTAAAAGAACTA